ATCTGTGTACATTTCTAATTACATAGTGGCACACGGTGTCCTTGAGCACAGTGGCAGGTCTCCATTTCATCTCTGTTCTGTGTCTACCCCCAACCCCCCCACCCCCTTTATTTTTTTCACTCTCCTCTCTCCCACATCCTTATTTATTTATTTCCATCAGCCTTATCTTTGTTGTTGTTTCAGTTGACTGTGCGCTGTGCAACAGCACTCATTTGCCCACCGATCTTCGTCCTTTGAACTCAGCATCGCAGGGCAAATCCGACTGTCAGGGGCAGCGGGATCATCTTTGATGATCTGTTTATTGTCCAACTCCAATTTGCAGGGGTTCACAAAATAATATCCATTCCAGCATGCATAACACGAAGGATCAGTCATGGGTAAAGGACAACAGCAAAGAATATTGTTTGCGTGTGGATTTTAGGGCTGGCACACCAAACTGTGTAGAGCAGAGCAGGAACTTGCTCTGTTACTTTTGTGATACCAAGTTCTCTGTGCAATCATCCTTTGCTATTCTTCCCTAGATTTTTCATATGTCTTCAATAGAGCTGCTCAGTTATATAGAAAGAAGATCTTTCCACTGCTGTGTCTATGCATTTCTGAACTCTGAATAGCCACGTTTTTCTTTTTGAATATCCTTGATGAAGGAAGGCCCTGAACATCTCAGCATGCTCGAGGGTTAGATGACCTTCCTATTGTTTATCTGTGTGTCTTTGCAAGGCCTTGTCTTTTCATTTTCTCTCCACTTCTCTGCAGTGAACCTTGTTATTGAAGTCAGAAGGCAACGCCATCTCTACAGTTGACAAAAACCAGGCTTAAAGTTGAAGAGAGGGGACAATCTTTAACATGGGAATGCCATGTTGTCGCAACAATTAACTCTGCAACCTTGTGCAATAGTTTAAAAGGCCTCCTCAGCAGCTGTGCTGTGTGAAAACAGATATGTTGCCCTGAAAAGACCAAAAAAAATAAACCCATTGTTATTACTACTTTGTTTGGTTAGTGTATTATCCCTAATATGTTTCCTTGGGCTATTTGCAACCTTTTGTCAGACATCCTACAAAATGAAGGCAAGCTTGTGCAGTACAGATGATTGCATTTATCCTGCTAAGGTTGTCACAGCCATTGTTTAACACCAACCAGTTCACTAAATCAGTCGTAATTGCTTCTGCTGAATTCCTCCAAAGTATGACTTTCTTCTCATTGTATGCCACCAACAGTAACATCTATGTGCTGCTGCCTGGAGGCAAGTTCCTGAGATATTAGTTCTCCACTCTCAGAACTGTTAGTCACACTGACAGACACCTGAGGCGATATAAAATGTCCCTCAAAGCCATGAAAGAGGGAGACAGGCTACTTCTCTTCTTCAAAACCTCAGAGTGAGGAGCAAAGAGATGCAGAGAGGAGGGGAGAGTAACTTTCTAAAGCTGCACTTAAACCCCTTCGCATATGGGGGCCATACCTTGGAGTAGACATGAAGGGGGACCCATATAGCTACAAGGCCCAGTATCATAAATAACACAAGACTTCTTCTCTCCCGTCTCCATCTCCTCCAGTTCACTGCTGAAGTGTTTCATATGGTAACTAGGTGTTCACTGTGTGGCCACATTGTTGCCCATCTTTCAAGTGGCTCAGAGGAGGAAACCTTGAGGTAGAGGAAGAGAAGGAATTTTTTATGCCAAAATGCATTATTCTGTTCTTTTTCCAGTCTCCCCCACCCCCCTTTGCCACTCACTGTGGGAGTGGAGTATTTATTACATAAACGGTAAAAAGAGGAGAGGAGAACTTGGCTGGAGGTAGAGGTAGCAATGGAGAGTAAGAAAGCTACAGGCTGTTCCTCTTGTCAGGTTAAAATGTAGGTTAGATGGAGGAATTAACACTATATTTTCCCCTCCACACTCGGTTGAAGAATAATATGTAGCTATGCAAAGGATGTATATTGTAGATGCCTTCTCTATGCAATGTCATGTGTCAATCATATCTCAGTTTTGATCCAACAGAACTTTAACCTGCCATAAAATGAAATGGATGTTTATATTAAAGGAGAAACTGTATTTGTATCAAGTACGTTTTTCTGTTGCATGAAACAAATAAGCACTTTCTAATAAGGTATACTGTTTTCTCTTTATGGATGGGTAATACATTATTTAATAATGCTTTATAGTTCAGTAATAAACAATAAGGACAATTATTGGGTTGCCAGGTTATAGATTTGCAGGCTGCACACTTGTTGGGTTATTAAAGAGTGAGTAAAACATTAATAAAGACTTCTTTCACTACAATAATCTAATAAGTCTGGGGATGTTAATGGATAGCTTTTGGTTCTGGTGCTTATCAGTTTTCCCCCTCCACTGTCTAAGTGATCAAATTATCCATTGAAGATCTTCCTGATGAATTTAAGAGGGAGCAAAAGACAAGTGTTGCTGGAAGAGAATATACACCACCAAAGGGGTATTTCACAGCTTCCCAAAACTTGTTCTCACAAATGTTTTATTACTAATCTATTAAACACTCAAATATCGTTTAACATTAATAAAGCCATTGACAATATATAACCCCTTAAAGCACATCTTATTAGAAAGTAGTACCCCAAAACAACATGCTTTTCTGCCTACCCATAGCGTGGCTCTCCAGCATCACCCCACATCTCAGGATGATCTGGAATGCCAAGAATCCCAACCAAGTGAATTATTCAGCCGCTCCCATTATTTCCATAATTGCCAGCATTGTAGTGGTGTTTGTAATGTCATTAATAACAGGCGTTGGCGTATAATACGCTTAATGTTATTTATCTGTTGGCAGATAGCTTGATGCTGCTAATCCTCATTCATTTGCTGTGGATCAATGCAAATCCGCTAGCGTGAGTGAAATCCCTTCCCCCTCTCAGAGCTGATGGTTCCTAATGTATTTTCCCACCATTAACCAGCCATAATCCCTGCTAATCATCACTAATCCACATCTCCTGTGTGTGACGATACTTCCCTGATGAAGGAGGCATCCATGTTCATGAGCGCCAGGGCACTGCTAAGGCTGGAGCTCCTCTGCAAGTGCTACACTCAGTGTAGGAGAGCAGACCACTGAGAGGAGAAGAGGAGGATAGGAGGAAAGGGTGAACTGTGGTTATTCGTAGGTCAAATAGCTGTGTTTTGCTGTTTTGTGATGAGTTCGGCTCATGTATTATTGATTTATGGGCATAATGGAGGTTGTGTCCCTCCATACGGTACAGAATAAAAATTGCATATCATCAAAATATAACAGTTGGTACCAGTCACCACAATCTCTCTTGGTCTGGTCAACTGTGGACTCCTTCTGTTTCACCATCTATGTTCACTCTGTAGGACTCAAACCATTTCTGATACTGGTAGGTGTGGTGGTTGATGCCTGACTGTGTCACATTTAAAAATTGGACCTGAAGTCTCTCTGCTTGGCTTGCTGCAGTGAAGAAGTGACAGACTGAGGAGTAGTAGGGGGAGAGGGTACTTAACAACATCACAGAAATGTATTAGCTTGATATTTGATATTTTATGGAAAACACAAATTAGTCTCTGCCATAAACTTCCAGAAATGTGTAGAATACAGTAATTGTGCAAGTGGAGTTATTTGTCACGCATATTTGAGCTGTGTGTTACAAACACACACAGATACCTGACATTTTTGAGAATGATGAATATAGTACTTTATTATTGTGTTGTTGTTTTGTTATTATTGTTCCTTTCTATCAAACTTTGAGGTAGAGCTTTGACGTTGCACTACCCCAGTTTGGCCAGCAGGGGGCGCCTGTGACCCGCTGTTCTCTGGCAGTCGGTTTGCTCCCTAATGTTGGCCTCGTCTCTCCCACAGTTTGACCACCTCAGCCAGTGTAAAGACACTTTTGTCACTTGCATCACAGTAGCACTAAAGGCCGGTTTTAAAATCCGGCAGGTCGAGATCGTGTCTTGTTACTTATCGTTGTTTCAACGCATGATACGGTTGTAGGCCTACAAATGACGCACACGCATTCATCTTTAGAAAAGCGGAAATTGAAAAATACTTGTGGATATTCGGTGTCAGTGTGTAAAATGGCAAAAAAAATGAATTACATTTGAGTAAAGGCCTGTATCCAAAATCTGACCTGAGTTTTCGTTAGAAACTGAAGGCTACTTCAAACTGTGTATTGTGTAGGCCTATTCATGTTTGATAACGGCACACTTTCTGTGAGAAAGTAGCCTAATCAAATACAAATGTGCTGTTGACTACTTGAAATAACTTAGGCTTGATACATAATAAAATGGCCTAAATGTAGACAAGTAGTGTAGACACACTTCTTCAACAAACCTAGACTTTAAAGATTTAAGTTTTGTGAACGTAGAAGTCCACTGCCGCTGTAGGCCTACGTCTTTTCACTTTTCACTTTTTACGGTGATTTAATTTTTTTAAATGAAACCGTGAATGTGTGGTGGAAGGAATTAAAATATATCAGTGCCTGCAATGAATCTCTCCACTGAACCCAACTGAATCCTGCCCTATGTAGGTTAGAAACAATGGGCACTGCCGCTGTGGCCCGTGATTATGGTGAATGTAGGGCCTAACTTTAAGACTCAATACATCATTTTGAGCAATGGATTATTTTTTTAGTGCTAAATAACATTAAAATATGTTCCTGTGAATGTAGGCCTGTATGTCCTCTAATTAAACTTTAGGGCCTGTCGTTTTCGTCTATCCTATATGTGTTTTTTCCCCTGTCTCCATCTTTGGAGAAGAAGCTGATTTTTTGCCTGCAGGCACTTCTGTCTCAGATCAAAGAGTCGTCACAATTCGCCTTTTAAATGCTTGAAACATTACAAATGATGGTCTATGGTTTATATAAGGCAAACAGTTTTCAATATGATTGAAGGAGGCCTGTTTAGACTACTTTAAATTATTAAGTTATTGGATAATTCTACTAATAAAAACACTGATAATAATAGTTATAATAATGATAACCACCACTCAATGAAAAGACAATAATTCCGTGTTAATATTGTACAATTTAATACTGCGATTATTACACAAAGATGTGAACAATGTCAGAGACTGTGTGAAGCAGGGAATGCCTGAGGTAAAATACTGTTGTCTATTCCCTTTAACAGCACATGTACACAGCTTCTGATTTAAACGACCCCCTGTTACATAACGAATCACTGCTATTTAAACTGAACACATGGTGTGATGACCATTCCCGATGCTCAGAACCCTGAACAGCAATAAACTTTATGATCATGTTTATCTTGTTTGCCTGGTAATGCTACAATAGAATTCAACAAAGGACGAGTGGTTTAGATCTTAATGAAGACAAAAGACCATTTCTTGTATATATGTTTTATGTAAGTAATAAAATATTACTATAACATAAATATAAATGTGACTTTGCAGTCTACATTTAGCAATCAACATACAACCAACGTAGTAAACAAAAAGAAAAACATACTGAAATCCACTGCAACATAAACATTAGCAGAGCTAAACAAAAAGCTCCAAACACGTTTGAGAAATAAATATATATATATAAATGGTCAGATTCATAAATGAAATCATATTAAAATATCTTCTTGGAATTAGTAAGTGTACAAAACTGCCCGGAAAGAAACAAAAACAAAACAATATCTCAGAACAAATACAAGTTTACATATTGGACATATTTACATATCGGAAATAATCGTGGCAACATTTTCTCTAAAATCTTTTTTATTATTATTATTTTTTCTTGAAAAAAAAATGTTTCCCTCATCTGTATTGAATAGCACTGCTGTGGGCTTTTGGACTGGTCCAGCATTGAGAAATGACACATCACAACGCACGAGATTTTCAGATTTCCTTTCAGGTCAGACAAAAATAAATATATCTAGTTAAGTCCCGTCATTGCTTACCCTTAAGGAATTATTATTATTTTCTTTTCCCCGAATCCAACGTGTTAATATAATACAATGGACATGTGGGACAAATTAAAACGGTTTGGTTGTAACCAGATTTAAACAACTAAAAACACAGAGAAACAAAAAAATCATGTACAGGCGTGATATTCTGACATGGGGCACTGAAGTTACCTGAGTTATTATTACTTTTCGTTTCGTATTTGACCAATCTCTCTTGAAATGTTTTGGGATACAACAGGATAACAGGCAGTAAGCAGTGTGAGCTGACAGCGCTCTGTGGTGATAACCAGGAACCTGTAAACATGGGATTTATTGTGTTTAAGCCTATGGAGATTAGCTCCACTAACAATTTTATTAATAAATATAAAATTGCAATAATAATATCTAACGAAAGAATAAGTGCTCCATGCAAAGAAAACAATAATTTGAAAATAATCCCCCCCCAAATAAAATATATATTTTTTAGAATTGCCCTTTTAGCGTCTGGTGATGTTTGCAAATTTCGACGTGGTCAGCTGCAAAGCTTTAAATATCTTTTTTTAAGGCATGCAAGCAGGACTTACAAGTCCTGTTGCATTGGAAATTTTTCTGAAATGTGTCTGACCTTAATTATCAGTGTTTTCGGGTGCCATAATATTCCATCACTTTTCCACCATCAACTCCCACTGAGTAAACAGAAAAATTCGAGGCTGCTCTGATGAGTTACAGTACCTATTGCAAATAATGAAAGAAATCATACAGTCTGCAGAAAGAGAGACACTGAAGTATTTCCAAACCAAAACATCACACTTAATATAACAAAGAAAGTATACACTAATATTCAGAAATCTGGTTAATCAGTTTAAGCCTGAAAAAGCAAAATGTTCATTCAGTGTAGGCTATTCATCTCCAGTGTTGATCATTTTCAGGCAACCACCTCGTTCTGGTGAGCGCCAACAGTTCATGGTACACCAGGAGGAAATGGCCTCAGTTGCCACATTTAATTACTCCCCATTTGAAACAGCCATGGGATATCAAATTTACTTATATGCATGTCTCCTCCATATAATTTTGGTAAATAAAGATCTTTGTTTCACTTTAAATGCGCAGGAAATCAGTAATAGCGAATTTTTTTCTTGATTTTTTTCTTTTTTTTTTTTTTTTTTACATTTTCCCTCTTGCCATCTATTTGTTGGACTTGACGATCTCCGAATACTAAGGGCAAAACTCTGTTCAACTTTTCCATGTCTCTTTTCTCTCAGGAAAACAAAAGCCAAACTTAAATACTGTAAACTCCATAGTCCCTTTCCCTTTTTCTATCCCCCCGCAGAAATTCTCGGATTGTTCATGAAAACAGTCACTGCACAGGACTCTGTAGTGTGCGGTGTAGAGGAGGGGTCTCTGCTTGGGAATATACGTCCTCCATATTCGGGTGAGGGACCCCCACTGGTGTCATTCTTTTCTCTTTTTGTCTTCTGTTGCAAAACCAAACACGGACAACCTCTTTTTCCAACTGCAGAGTGCCGGCTAAAGAGCTGATTTCATGAGCAGACGGCTTTGGGCATTTTAAGAAATGATTTTCCAGCGCCCCTTTCACCCCCACTTCAATGGAGGTCCTCTTCTTTCGTTTCCTGCCCTGCGCAGCAATCTTGTCCAAATTGGTGGGACTGCCCGTGTTTGAGTCTGTCTCCTCCAGCCACTTGTTTAGGAGCGGCTTAAGTTTGCACATGTTCTTGAAGCTGAGCTGCAGCGCCTCAAACCTGCAGATTGTGGTCTGAGAAAAGACGTTTCCGTACAGGGTGCCCAAGGCCAAGCCCACGTCCGCCTGCGTAAAGCCCAGTTTGATCCGCCGCTGCTTGAACTGCTTGGCGAACTGCTCCAGGTCGTCGGAGCTGGGCGCGTCCTCGTCCGAATGGTCCTGGTGGTGGCTGAACGCCTGCTGGGGCGACTCCATCTGGTTGTCGTGGCTGCCCGAATCATCGTGGAGCGGGTCCCGCATGCCATGGTGCAGGGCGCCGGGCTGGGGACTCAGCATTGCGTTGAGGTTTGTGTATCCAGGCTGAGAGTAGACCAGTGACTGGTGGCCGTTGGATGCTGGGGACAGCGGGGATAAGTGATGGGTCGTGGTAGGCGCCCACGAACCATGGTGGCCACTCTGCGTCTGCTGGTGCACCAGGTGAGATCTGTGGTGGAAGCCGCTGCTCAGGTCCTCTCTGGTCGCCTGCACGCTGGCTTTGTGCTCCTGCTGTCCGATGTGGGTGCCGCTGGACCAGTCGGTGTTGGAGGAGGGCAGCCACTGGTGGTGCGTCAGGCTCATCGGGTGTCCCGTGTTGGTAGCCGCAAGCCCTTGCAAGTACTCGTGGTGCATCATTTTCTGCACCTCTCTGTAGGTCGTCCCCTGGTGCATCCTATCCGAATCCGGATGCATGAGCGGGTTGGACGGTAAAGAGTTATTCCTCGGAATATACTGAGCTGTTGTCGCCATGGCTCCTACTTCGAAAACTGACGAGCACTTCGGAGGTCTCCAGGCTTTAGAGCCAAAACGCAACAACCTGCTCTGGGAGGTCTTGGGGAAGAGCGAAGACACGCCTCCCTTCCGCTTGTATTGGCTCCTCTCCGATTCAAGCCCACTAGGGACATATTCAATAGGCGCAGGGTTTCAGAGCATGGTACAGCACATTTCTCGCACAGGATGGATGGAGTTCCGATCTTACATATGTTATAGAAAAAAACACATGTTCTATTTATTAAATGTCTCTTTGAGTTTTAAACAGTACTCTTCTCATTTTGTATACCTGCGCACAGATAGCCTCCCGTCTGTCTGTTAGATTTTGTTTCTCCAAATCTCTCCAAGGAAGGTGAACAGGGCTGCAGCAGCGGAGTTTGATTAGGTTTCCCTGGGTTTAGATCGGTTGTTTTGCAAATAACCACGTGGGGGAGTACGGAGATCTTTTTGAAGGCGCCCCCCACCCCACCCCAACACCACATGCACTTACAAACACACACCCGTGCACCTTTATAATAGGTCACTGATGATTGTAGCGCTCCTCATTTTAAATAGATTATAAAGCGCGATGCTCAAGCTCTCCAGCCACCCACACAAGGAGAGGCGTGCCAATAAGCGCTATGTGATGTGTCTGTGAATGCTGCTGTAAATGTGTGACAAATTTGAAAGCATTTGCTCTATTTCAAAGCCTCCGCGTATGTCATTTATTTGTATTGTCTCGGTAATTTTCAATGTTGTATGATCTCATCATCACCACCCACTTAGTTATGATAGGCCAAGATCCGCTCTCTCTTTCTCTCTCCCACCTCTCTCTCTCTCTCTCTCTCCCTCTCTCCCTCTCTCTCGCTCACACACACACACACACACACACACACACACACACACACACACAGTATAGTGCAGGTAACATATTATAGCTATACAATTTATTCACATCATCCAGTATCTTATTTTGAAATCCTTAACGTAATCGTGTGGACGTCATCAAGATTTAATGACATATCTGATAACAATAATTTATAATTGATCATAACCAATCCCAAAAAATCAAACATTTTTATATGGCATTGTATCATCACTGCCAAGCTGCTGCACTTGATCTGAATTTCCCAGTCCTGCAAATTTAGATTTAACCTATTCAAAAAATAAAATAGACTATATTTTTATATAATTTACCTCTCGAATCATTTTACTAAGCAGCAAGTTGGAGAGAGAAACCATGTGTTTCTTCCTCCTGGCTCCTTCCTCACTACCTCTCCCGGTTGATCTGATTATTTTTCCCTTCACGTTTTGTCCCAATAGCAAATTACCAATTCTATGAATTGCAAAGCAGCCTCAGAGACGCTGAGGGGTAGAGAGAGGGGGGGAGATGCGAAGATTGAAAGGGATCTTTGCAAACACAATCACGTTCTTAAATGGAAATGCGGGGCTTTAAACAAATCTTACATCTCTCCAGTTCCATTCGCCTAAAACTCTGCAATCAGGCACATGTTCCACTCCTTCTAAAACAGGAGCGTTTTGGAAGGTTTTTCAGGCGCAACAGTCCCATTTTAATCATTTACCTGAAAGCAATGTTTTGCCTTTTTATCTCTGCCGCGTGTTTGTTTGTTGTCATCTTCCCAAATGCGACTATTTTCTTTCTATTTACAGGACGACTCAACTCTAGTGTTCATTTTAATCCGGGACTACATGACTAAAAGGTAAGTTGTCTCCTTTCTGCTGTGACCGCGTCCTTGCTGTACTCTTGTCTCCAGCGTTAACAATGCAGAGTGTGTGTGTGGAAAATGTTGTCGGGGTCACAGGGGCTCGTCATCATCTCTTGAAAGGCGTGGTTTTTGTCCACCCATCCTTTATATATTTATTTGGGATGAGTGGAAGACAATCGGCGCGAGTTACCTGCGTGTCATTTTTTGGCAATTTATTAGTAACAAAGTCCGATTTTAAGATATATGATGATGTCAGTAATGCATTTTAGCTTTTACTAACGGGTTTGTAATAAGTAATTTAAGAAATATTTCCAATGATATGTTGCATTTTGCAATAAAAATGTTTTAACATGAAATAACATTACCTACCAATACATATATTTAGGCTATGGAACTTAATTAATTTGTGTCATTCATAGTAGTTAGAATATACCAGGGGAAATCAAAATGTAAAAGTAACAAGTAAGAGAATGATGGACAATGCTTAACGCGACTTGTTAATGGGAAATCCCAGCCAGGACATTTCTTATTGTCTGTCTTCTCCCTGCGAATAAAACTCCAGAGAGACCTCAGCGGCTGTGTGTCACAGCTACAAGGGACCGGAGCTCCATGCAGCTCTCAGTTAATGAAGATGCGTTAGCCATTCAGTCATTCTTGTCTCCCAGTCTATAAAAAGCAGTGGTTTCTGCCACACAGACCCAGTCTTGTGCTTTGCCATGCCAGCGAGGAGCTGCTGGAAAAGAAAGATCCAGATGCTTTGGCCCTTTTGTAAAGAATATGGCCTTGTGTGCGCTGAGGTGCATTTTTGCCAGGAAGCACTAGGTTTCCATGGTGCGTACGATGAAAGGGATCACACAGAACTTAATGGTGAATGACAGGCCATACAGGAAAAGCGGGTGGAAATGAGCATGATATGATGGATTTAAAAAATAGAATGGGGAAAAAAGAAAGACATTGCGAGGCACACAGGCTATGAACCACAGAGATGAGTGTGGAGGAAGTTGGGTGACCCTTTAACCAGAAATAAGTGTGTGCTCAAGTATTCTTTATTGTATGCATGAAAACATAGTTCTCTGATTTATTCTGTATTTTATCGCGAGGTTCTTTAATATGCTGTCTTGACATAATGTGAACATGCAGGAACAAGAGGGACATTAAAACTTGCACCCTAAAAACACATTTTAACATGGACAGGACAGTTAACATGGTACTTTTGCTGATGAAACATAATTTCCTTACTTTATTTTTTTGGAAACGATGTTTAGCTAAACGCAGTGAGTGTTTCGGGGCTAATTTATTTAGTTGAATGAAGGGCTTGTTCTTTTTTCAGTCAGTCAGGTGTTAATTTCCCCCCAGTCTACTTAATATGCAGCAGAAATGTCAGGACGCACCTCAACCAATAGGACCCCATCAACCCTTCAATTACCCACGTTTCCCTCTGACTCTCTCTCTGACTGGGTACCAGTACACTCATGATGCAGTGTATAAAAATTACCTATGACAAATAGTTAAGAGAAGAATTCAATAAAATGGGAGAGATAATGCTGAAAAAAGATAAATTGTGTCATTAATCAGAATTGTTTTTTATAGAATCCAATCTTAAATCGAAAAGTAAGATTTTAGTGCTGGTTATTTTAGTCATTTTTCTAAGGCTTTAAATATGCAAACATTTAATTTCGAGATAAACTTTAACCCAATCATTGGATTTTATAACCACCGGTATATCCTGAAATAACACACTCATTCTTATAAGACGGCCTTGGCCTCACATTAGATGTTTAATACAAGTCTAAATTCCAGGGGGAACATTTCGACCTGCCACAAGCTATGTTTAGATTTTAAAATTCATGTGATGTACGCCCCAACTACAGCGAGTAGAATAATATCCACCAACTCACTCAATCAGATAATTGTATTTCGGTTCCTTTTTTTTTGATAGACATGCGTAATAGGCACTAAATATGCAATAGGAAAAAAAAACTGTTTGCCCATCCATTTTGAAGACCAAATCGTCCCGTGCTTTTCAGGTAACTTTTTCCCTTTCTTTTTTGGCTAATGAACTTGGGCTATTCTGCCAGCGTCCCCTGAGAATGCGACGGGGGGAAACGCTTCTCTTGTGGTAAAAGGTGCGAGTTTCTTCCTCTATCTCTCGGCTAATTAGGCGGGGTCTGAACACGCTAGAATGAATATTCATGAAAGGCACCAGCGCGCAATTAGTAGTGGAGAGAGTTCCCAACTTCAATCCCCAAACAACGCAGCTTGCAGAGGAACGGGGTACCGGTCCCCCCTACCCCATGTGTCTCTGCTTCTGCTCAAGCACTCTTTGAGCCCTCACTTACACTCTCAATTCTTATCAGCCAGTCTCCTGCTCCCATTTTCAAAGCAGCCACCAACATAAGTGATTTGTCCACTTCATGTAAATCTCCATCTTGGGAATAACAGCTAATCCAATTAGAGTTCTCAATCACTTCTGAAGTGGCCAAAGGAGAGATTTCTTGTGTCAGTTGAGGTTTTGGAGTTCTGGAGTCACTTTATGACAAATTAACAAAATCTCATTCACAATTACAATATCTATAAGTCTGAATTTCAAAAGACTTCCCTGATATGCCACATGTCTAACATTCACTCCATGAGGTTGAATATGAACATTTGTAGCAGAAACAGACACACACGTGTGCACGTGCAGAAACACATCCTGTATATGCACCTACCACCTAATGATGCATATCATCTAACAACACACAATTTTATGAGCATCACACTTCACAAATCCAAATCCCCCAAGTTGTCAACGGCCCCTGGTGCACACATGAGCTCCAATCCCCTAAAGCCTCCTTCTACCTGTCTTGTGGTTTGTGTGTCACGCTTTAGCCTGTGCGTCAGGCTGCCTGTCCGTCCGCCCGCCGAGGACCCACAATCCTCAGCTTTGAATTCAAGGTGATTCTTATCCCCGACCCCCTCCTGGCCCAGCGCGTTTGCCTCTTGCCTCCATAAAGACGTGTTTATGTATGTATGTATGTGCAGAGGGGAACACGGGGAGGTTTTTCAAGGGTTGGGGGGAGATAAGCAGAGGAATTTGAGGCCGGTGAATATGGATGGGGTCCCTGCTTTTAGAGAGCACCGCTGATAGAGAGGTAAACAGCTCCTGGCCAGGAGAAGGAAGAAGAGGGAGAGGGAGAGGGAGAGGGAGAGGTGGAGGGGGGGTGGTTGATGTATGCACTGGCAAGCATTTGGGGCCTAACCCCATATCCCTCTCGCTCTGTTATTCACTCACCATCTCTGAGGACTATCTGTCATTATTTCTTCACCTTATTTTGTTGTTATATTGTCGAGTTTTTGCTTTTGGACAATCTTGTGGATTTCGACAATGAGGTTCCATTATCAATACGAAGAGAGTGAGGGTGTTTGTAAACTGGATTTCAGGCTTAGAAGTTTCAGGTTTTTCAGTGCTGATGCTGCATTATTAAGAACAGTAAAAACAGTGCAGGTTAAAGGCTACAGGTGGCCTTGTTTTTGTGCATATGGATTGTCAGTTAGTACTGCC